TGAGCCTTTAGATTTTGCTTGTTTCTGTTCTCTGCAACATTCTGTCATAGTGTTTTTAGAAATATATTTTAAAAAAATCTGCGTTTCTGCATATAGTTTTTGAGGGATCATTAAAATGGTGTAATTTTCAACTAAAGTAAAAAGTCCTACAGTTTGCACCTTTAGAATGCATATTATTTGTTTTCAAATGTTGTTAAAATTTCAATTATGCTTTTGATTGTTTTTTTTGACAGGGCTATGATAGAGGATGCATATTCAAGGTCAATAACAAAACTAGCCAGATCAGTGAGCAATTACACACAACTTGGGTGTGTATAAGAGAAATAATTAACTGAATACAGTTAAGAATCAAGTTTGATTCTGAATATTTTATTGATGATGTTGAAGGTAGCATAACTTTGCCACCTTTATAAATGATGGTTAGTTCTTCAGTTACTATGCAGCTATGACAAAAACAAAGCAGTATAGTTCTTCATAGGTTAAATCCCCAAGGAGGGAAAAAAAGATGTGTAATTGCTAAAAATTCCCATTATATGCCTCCCCAAGTATACGGGTGATGGCCACACTAAGAACACATACCAGACTAGTTTAATGATCAATGATTCTATTGTATAAGTTATTACCATAAAGCACAGCAAAAGAAGAACCTTAGCCCAGGCCCCAAAGCCAATAAACACTAAAAGAGCAAATACTAGCTACAAGTAATGTATGACATGCTGAAACTCTGAGACCAAGTGCAACAAGTCTGACAGCAAATAATTCAACATTGTGATGAGTGACTATTGATCTGAAACAAGGAATGCTTATCACAAATACGTTTTGACACACTCTGGTCAGACCTGTCATTATCATCTCAAAGGTTTGTGCCCCACGTTGGGCGCCACAAAGAACTGTCGTGGTTTAAGCCCAGCTGGTAACTCAGAACCATGCATCTGCTCGCTCACTCCCCCCCCCCTTCTCCCTCCCCCCACTCCGAGAGAGATGGGGAGGAGAATCAAAAGAATGTAACTCCCACGGGTTGAGATAAGAACAGTCCAATAACTAAGATATAATACAAAACTACTGCTACCACCACCAGTAATAATAATGATAAGGGAAATAACAAGGGGAGAGAATGTAAAGCTAAAAGGAGAAAAAGAAAACACTAAACACAAGTGATGCACAATACAATTGCTCACCACCCGCTGACCAATACACAGGGGCTTGAGCAGTGAACTGGGCCTTCCAGGTAACTCCCCCAGTTTATATACTAGGCATGACGTGCTATGGTATGGAATATCCCTTTGGCTACTTTGGGTCAGGTGTCCTGTCTCTGCTTCCTCACAGCTTCCCGTGCCCCTCCTCCCTGACAGAATATGAGACTGAAAAGTCCTTGATCGGAGTAAGCATTACTTAGCAACAACTAAAATCATTGGTGTGTTATCAGCATTGTTCTCAGACTAAAGTTTAAAACACAGCACTGCACCGGCTGCTAAGAAGGGTAACAATAAATGTTACAGCTGAATCCAGGACAATTTATTACTCTAGGTGAATTAAAATTTTGTATGTGGGATGTTATTTTAACAAATGAATGATTAATGGCTGTTGTTTTCATTAGAAAGATTATGCAACAGCACAGACTTCTTAGATGAGGCTAAAGATTATTTTTCTTTGTAGTAATTATAGATAGAAATGTGGAAAGCTTTCATCAGTGGATAATTTGACACCAGCTGTTGCTGCTTTTCAAAGGTTCTGTATCTGCATGTTAGTTTGAACATCAGTGCTTTAAAGGCTATGCATGTTATTGGTTTTTTCAGCAGCATTGACCTGGAAACTGAGGTAGGAGTCTATCTTTAGAATAGCTGGAGAAGTCCATTAAGTATAGAAATCTGAATCTGAGGAATGACCTGTCACCCACCTTCCTTTACTTGAGGCTTAACCTTAACTTGAGGTTAATCTTGAGGCTGTAATGACGTAAGACAACTGGAAACTTAACTAGCCAAGTGGCTTTTGGTTTCTTTTCACTTTTCAAGTATGCATGTAAAAATACTTGTGCATGTGATTTCTTGGGGTTTTTTTTGAGCTGCTCTTGCATCACCTTTAGGAACATCATTTGCTATTATTGCGTGTTGATGATGGAGAAGAATAAGTTAATTTTGTTGCTTTTTACTCGTTAGAGTTAATGCAGGTAAAACACAAAGAACTGAAAAGTTATGTAGGATTCCAAGTACATTTGAAATATTTAATAAGAACATCATTTATAGCAGGTTTGGGGATTTTTGTTTTCTTCAGTTTTAGGAACAGAGTTGAAATTCTGTAAATATATCAGTTACACTTTAGCACTATTTTAAAAAAAATGTAGCCAACCTAAAGAAAAAAACCCATATGAGCATTAAATTTTTATTTTACTTTTCCTCAATCTAGGACATTTGCACCAGCTTGGGATGTTTTCAAAACCACAACAGAAAAACTAGCGAGCTGTCACCTGGACCTTGTGCAGAGATTACAAGAGCTAATAAAAGAAGTTCACAAGTACGGAGATGAACAAATCAAAACTTATAAAAAGGTTATCAATTTTTTTTCTTCTGTGTGTTCAATGACTGTTGCAGAATGGCTCTAAGAGCAAGGCCATGGAGCCTTAGAGGGCTTGTGTGAGCAAGGCAAGGGGTAGGCCTCACAGGTAACCAGAAACCAGATGTGGGAGGAGAATGTGGAGGAAGCTGTGTGGATCTAACCAATACTGTTGTGCCTAGGAGGCGTGGCTAAATACCAAGCCTATATAAGTAAACTGCGTCACAAATAAAGTAGAAGTTTGCTGATCACCCATATTGGGTTGGCGTGTCTTGCTTCTCCTCACCACTTACAAAAGACTTGTTAAAATTAAAATGGTTTGGATTTGACAACTGTGTGATTTTTGGCAGACTAAAGACACAACTTCCCTGGGCAACCCATTTGAGTGCCTCACCACCCTAACAGTAAAGAACTTCCTCCTTATATCCAATCTAAACATCCCCTGCTTAAGTTTGAACACAACACACACAATACTCCAGGTGAGGTCTCACAAGAGCAAAGGGGCAGGATCACATCCTTCAACCTGCTGGTCACAGTCCTTTTGATGCAGCCCAGGATATGGTTGGCTTTCTGGTCTGGAAGCACACACTGCCCACTCATGTTCATTTTCTCATTGACCAGCACCCCCAAGTCCTCTGCAGGGCTGCTCTGAATCTCTTCTTTGCCCAACCTGTAGCTGTGCCTGGGATTGCTCCAACCCAGGTGTAGGACCTTGCACTTGGCATGGTTAAACTTCATGAGGTTGGCATCAACCCATCTCACAAGCGTGTTGAGGTCCCTCTGGATGGCATTCCTTCCCTCCAGGGTATCAACCGAACCACGCAGCTCAGTGTCATTGGCAATCTTGCTAAGGGTGCACTCAATCCCACTGTCCATGTCAGTGACAAAGATGTTAAACAAGACCGGTCCCAACACCGATCCCTGAGGGACACCACTTGTTACTGGCCTCCAGCTGGACATTGAGCCATTGACCACAACTCTTTGTGTGGGGCCATCCAGCCAGTTCTTTATCCACCAAGTGGTCCATCCATCAAATTGATGTTCCCCAATTTAGAGACAAGGATGTCGTGTGGGACAGTGTCGAATGCTTTACACAAGTCTGGGTAGATGACATCAACTGCTCTACCCCTGTCCATCATTTCTGTAGCCCCATCACAGAAGGCCACCAATTGGTCAGGCAGGATTTCCCCTTAGTAAAGTGTCCTGGTTTTAGCAGTAGCAGTCAATTTTTCTCCTTCTTGGTAGCTGGTGCAGCATTGTGTTTTGACTTTCAGCCTGGGAACAGTGCTGATAAACACCTATGTTTTTAGTTGTTGCTAAGTAATGTTTACTCTGACCAAGGACTCTGTGAGTCTCATGCTCTGCCAGGGAGGAGGGGGAAGCTGGGAGGAAGCAGAGACAGGACACATGACCCAAGCTAGCTGAAGAGGTATTCCATACCACAGCACGTCATGCCGGGGGGGGCAATTGGGAGTTACCCGGAAGGACAGGGGCTTCTGGGTTGGACTTGCGGGTGGCATCGTATTCTGTTCCCTTGCTATTTTCTCTTATCTTTGTTGTCGTTGGTGGTAGCGGTGGTGATTTGTGTTGTACGTTGGATGCTGGACTGTTCTTGTCTCAACCTGTGGGAGTTGAATTCTTTCGATTCTCCTCCTCATCCCTCTGGGAGAGGGGAAGGGGGAGGGGGGGGGAGGAAGGAAAGAAAGAGGGAGGAAAAGGGAGGGAATGAGTGAACGAGCTGTCTGGCTGAGTTTAAACCACAAGAGTTCTTTCTGGGGCCCAACGTGGGACACGAAGGGTTGAGATAACGATAGATCTGTCTGGATTAATAGTCACTTGTCACAGTGCTGATTTATTGGCTCTCAAAGTTGTTCCTTTGCTGATTGTGATGTGGATCACTATGTTGGCACACATACAGAGTGTATTTTGTCCACGACCATTTCTTCTGATTTCAAAAGTTAAGCAGTGCTTCATCCACAGGTTCTTCTTGATCAAGCGATCTGTAACAGATCCCCACAGTAATGTTTCCCATAGCTTTTTTCCCTTTAACCCTGACCCACAAACTCTCTGTTAACTGATCACTTGTCCCCAGACAGAGTTCCATACTCTCCAGCCTATCCCTAACATAAAGGGCAACTCCCCCTCCCTGCCTGCCAGGCCTGTCTTTTCTAAAAATCCTGCAACCTTCCATTCCAACACTCCAGTCATAGGAGCCATCCCACCATGTTTCTGCGATGCCTATTATATCATACCCCCGTAGACGTGCACACATCTCTAATTCCTCTTGTTTGTTCCCCATGCTACGGGCATTTGTATAGAGGCATCTGAGCTGAGCTCCAAATGAAGCCGGCTCATTGGCTGGAGCAGCTGGAATATATTTACATTGCTCCAAGCATTTATTATAGGTACTGGAGCATCTATTATAGGTGCTGGAGAGGTGCTATAGAGACAGTATACTCGAGCCGACCAGACCTGAAGGAGGAGCTTCTGGAGGGTGCAGATTCCTGGTTCACTGATCACAGCAGCTTTGTTAAAGACAGTAAACGAAGACCAGGATATGCCATAACTACAACTTCAAAGGTAATAGAAGCTAAACCATTACCCTCTAACACCTCAGCACAAAAGGCAGAAATAATAGCCCTGACTAGAGCCTTGGAGTTGGCAAAGGACAAGCAGATAAACATACGGACTCATTCCAAATATGCCTTTGGTGTAGTTCATGCACATAGAGCAATTTGGAAAGAACAAGGACTTTAAAATACCCAGGAAAGACAAATTAAACATGCAACGGAAATTCTGCCATTGTTAGAAGCTGTACAATTACCTAATGAAGTGGCTATCATACATTGTAAAGGACATCAAAAAGGTAACTCTGATTAAGAGACTGGAAACAATTTGGCTGATCATGAGGCTAAACGTGTGGCAGAAAAAGAAAGAGTTGAGGTTATGTCCTTAAATCCTGATGGTAAACTGGTAATTGAGCAAAATAAACCTAGGTACTCTAAAGAAGATATGAAACTAATTGAAGACTTGGAAGGATAGAAAAATGAAAAGGGTTGGATAAAAATACCTGATGGGTGAGTAGTGATCCCCTATAATCAATTATGGAAGTAGATACAAGAAGAACATAACAAAACTCATTGGGGAAGTAATGCCTTGTATAAAAACATTTAAACCAACAGATCATAGGAAGAAATTTCTATACCATAGTGTCCTGGGTTTAGCAGTAGCAGTCAATTTTTCTCCTTCTTGGTAGCTGGTGCAGCGTTGTGTTTTGACTTCCAGCCTGGGAACAGTGCTGGTGAAACCGATGTTTTCGGTTGTTGCTAAGTGATGTTTACCCTGAACAAGGGCTTTGTGAGGCTCATGCTCTGCCAGGGAGGAGGGGAAGCTGGGAGGAAGCAGAGACAGGGCGCCTGACCCAGGCTAGCCAAAGAGGTATTCCATACCACAGCACATCATGCCCGGGGTGAGGGTAACTGGGAGTTACCCGGAAGGACACAGGCTTCTGTGTCAGACTCGTTTCTCCAGGTGGGTGGTATCGTATTCTCTTCCCTTGTTATTTTCTCTTATCATTGTTGTCGTTTGTGGTAGCGGTGGTGATTTGTGTTGTACATTGGTTGCTGGACTGTTCTTGTCTCAACCCGTAGGAGTTGCACTCTTTCGATCCTCCTCCCCCTTCCTCCGGGAGCAAGGAAGGGGAGAGCCCCGGAGGAAGGGGGGTGGGGGGGGGCCTCGATTGCTTTCAGCCCAGCACCACTCACTGGGAGTGAGTGAACAAGCTGTCTGGCTAGGGTTTAAACCATGACACATAGCGCAATTAGTGACAAAACAACGTCAACTATGTCTGAAAAATAACCCTAAGACTGAAAACAGGAATCAGGTAGGGACAATTGGAGAAGGGAATTATACGGGACAACAGTGGCAAGTATATTTTTCTGAATCACCTAGAAAAGGAGGTTATTGATATTTTTTGGTATTGACAGATGATACTTTTTCAGGGCGGCCAGAAGCATTTCCTTGCCGGACAAATAATGCAAAACAAGTGATTAAGGTGCTAGTAAGTGAAATAATAACTCATTTTGGGGTACCAGCAACTATGTCCTCTGACCACGGTACACATTTCAGTGCAAAATTATTACAAGAAATCATCAAGAAATTGGAAACAGATTGGCAATTACATGTTCCATATAGGCCACAGGCCAGTTGGCAAGTAAAAAATAAAATTAATCAGTTAATTAAACAACAGCTTGGGAAGATTTGTCAAGAGACTAAGTTATATTGGATTCAAGCATTACCACTGTCCTTACTGAGAATCAGAACAAAACCTTGGTCAAACGAAGGAATTAGCCCATTTGAGATTCTTTATAGAAGGCCATATCAATCTCAATTTAAAGCAGAGAGACTTCAAGAAGTAGGAGAAGGATATCTTCAACAGTTCTTGGTAAACTGGGGAAAACAGTTAAAAGAAATAAATGGCAGTGTTAGGGACCAGAGCCAGAGTTTTAGATTATCCTAATCATTCTTTTAAGCCAAGAGATTGGGGTTTTATTAAGAATTTTGCAGGTGATCCCCTAGAAGAGAAGTGGAGCGGACCATACCAGGTATTACTGACTACCTTTACAGGAGTGAAGATAAAGGAACATCCTGCTTGGATACATTACTCATGAATCAAGAAGGCACCAGAACCAGAAAAACACCAGAACCAAGAAAAAGTATGGCGTGTCAAGTCTTTAGGACCCACACATATGAGAGACTACATCGATCATAATTTGGACTTGTATAATAATAAGTGTAGAAGCATGGAATCAAAATCTATATCTGAGATTGATACAAAATGTTACTAGTGTCTTAAACAAGAGTGATTGTTGGATCTACCTAAAACAGGAGAGAGACTGTGCACTCCTTTAATTGGCCTCCCTATTCCATTTAGGACAAATTGAAATAGATTAGATGTGGAAACAAGTTAAAATATTTCATGAGGTGGCAAAGGACAGAACCTCATGGGGATCTGAGGGAATCTGGGAAAAATTAACATCACAGGTACCCAGTCTCTCCTGGTTGAAATAGTTGTTTTTTTTTTACTGTATTGGTAATAATAGGAATGGTTTTGATTACATGTATAAAACAGTCCAATGCTCCTTTTGGTGTTGCAAACAATCCATGATGAACTGACGAATGGAAGAGAAACAAAATAAGCATCAAGTAGAAACAGGGAAATACTTCAGGAAACTTTAAATAAGAATGAAATAACTCAGTTGCAAAAGAATTTGCAATAGGACAAAAAAAGGGGGGATTGAAGAATGGGGTTGAATGAAGAATAGGGTTGTAAATAAGTAACTTCAAAGACATTAGGCTTTGTAAGCAACTATAGAGAAAAGGAAATTACTAAGATAAGCTTTGCCAGAACTGCCTGGTGGCTACTGATATGACAACGATCCTAAAAGAAAGTGATGAAGAAATAACCACCAGGGGTCCCAAAGCCCACTACCATATTTTAGTGTGCATGCAGGAGGCATTCTCTAAAGGTATGATGTAATGTATGTAATCTAATTAATATGCATGTTTAAGGACAATATAATCACAGCCTGGTTGATGCTTGGATGAGACACACTAGGAGGAGCGATCCCCCATGTCTCCCAGTGCCACAACAAAGAATACCTGCTTGTCAACTTAACCTTTTTGGCGAGTTCCTGGAGATTTCTCTGAATCACCTCCCCCCACACTCACCAAGGTGGACAGGACACCATCACAGACAAAACAGACTCGACTTGGGGAAACTGATTTATTACCAGTCAAAAGTCAGTGTAGAGTAATAAGAAAATAAAACCAAACCTAAAAACACCATCCCCCCCTACCCCTCCCTTCTTCCTGGGTTCAACATCACTCCCAATTTCTTTACCTCCTCCCCCCCAGCTGTGCAGGGGGGCAAGGAATGGGGACTGTAGTCAGGTCAGCACAAGTTGTGTGACTTAAAAGTCCTTGATCAGAGTAAGCTACTTAGCAACAACTAAAACATTGATGTGCTGTCAACATCATTGTCAGACTGAAGCCAAAACACAGCAGTGTACCAGCTACTAGGAAGAAAACTCTATCCCAGCTGAAACCAGGACATTGGTGATGGCATGCACAGTTCCACTCTGTACTTGCTGGAAGTGAAGATTCACGATTTGGATGTGTGCAGGGCAAAGGATGTGGCTGAAGTGCAAAATTAGAATCAACTTCTACATGTCCATGAATGGATGGGGAAAGTGAGTGCGAGCACTGGACTGAAATCCCAGCTTGGAACACAGGAACATACAGTATGAAAGCTGGAAGAAGAGCCATAGTTGAGTCCCTGGTTTTGTGTGGTTAGAAAGACACGTAACACTGAATACCAATGATGATCATATACCCACTAGGTTTGGAAGCCCCTGGTCTACACTACCTTCACATGCATTTCCTTTTCAGGTTCTAATAGAGTAACAATTTTCTTGCATCTTTGTACCTACTCACCTACTATCTATTTTCTATTCTATGCAAAAAAACATGTCTTGCCTTTCCACTTTTATATTCATCATTGATAAAACAGTGCCCTTATGAAGAACCTGCCATTAAGCAGCATATTTTGAATGTTTAAGGTATTTCACAATGGCTTGTAGAAAATTCTATATAAAATTATTTAATAGGGGAATGATTGAGTCGTAGAAATCTCTAAGAACTTGACAACAAAGTTTAAGTTGACAATCAGGTATTCTTTATTGCAGTGCTGGGAGACATGAGGGATAGCTCCTCTGAGCGTGTCTCGCTCAAGCACCAAACAAGCCATGATTATATAGTCAAATATACACATTCATTACATTACATGCATATTCATAAAGCTACTTATACATGACATAATTCTAGAAAATTCCTCTCTCATGCACACAATAATGTGGTAGTGGTCTTTGGGACCCCTGGTGGTCGTTTCTTCCTCATCTTCTTCCTCACTTCGTCTTTTGGCTGAACTTCAGGTTTGGAAAGTCCCGTTGTCATGCCAGCAAACACTAGTTCAGTTCTAGCTGGTTATTGTAAAACATTTACCTAAGATACTTCTTCACTATCATCTACCACAAAGCTCTTACCCATTGCTATTGTTACAAAGCTACCAAGCTCAACATTACTTAACCACACAGCAGAACTGATTTTACTTATTTACAAAAGATTATACTTCATTTTGTATTTCTTTGTTTCATAATTTAACAGAAACTTTATATTGTATATTCAAGGCTTAAAAGCCATACGTTTTTCCTCTCTACATGAATTTTGTTTGACTTTAGGCCTTATCTCAGCTTTCACTCAGTAATATATACACATATCTATATATGCATAAACTCAAAATTTTAAAAGTACATATGAAATTAACAGTGATTTTTTTGTTTGTTTGTTTAAATTACACTCTGGAGTCTGGTCTGGAAAGGAAAACCTTCTTCCAAACCTCACTTTTAGCATCCAGTTTATTTCTACCATTAAAATATGCCACATTCCATGGCATCCATAGGTACATACATAAAGAGATTACGTACACTGATTTATCATGCATATGATAGATCACATACATAAACCCAACAATATAGGATCAAGACAAGTATATATCTACCAACGAAATATTTTCATAATAAAATTTCAGTATGAATTGCAGCCCTGACATAGATGCAAGCACAGCTGCTAAATTGAGCTAAGTATGCCTTGTGAAAGGAAAGTGATGACATTGATGGTTTTATGAATGTAGGCTTTCATTGGATTATGACATACTTGATTTAGTATATTTATTTAGTATAGGAGTGCTTGTGTATAGGAGTGCTTGTATGCAGATATTCAAGAGAACAGATATACGTGCTTAATTTTAGGCTCATGTTGTAAATTGGAGCAACCTCGGGGATAGAGCTACCTTATAATCAAGTGATACACACACAGCACGGAGATAAGAGCTCACAAAGACTGAGCAAGCCATTTATACCTACCCAAAAAGCATGGGGTGACTGTACAAAGGGCCCAAACAAAGGCTTTACAAGTTCCATCAGCTATTTCCATTGAGCACATAAATTAACAACCTCCCCAAGCAAGCAAATAAACAAAAGCACAAGACAAACACGGGACTTCATGCCTCTAGAATATTTCTTTGGAAATAAAACATTAAAAATCTACATATGGACAACAAGGACGCTACACACCCCCTACAAAAAAGGGCAGGAAATATGGCCACTTTCTTATATATCCAAGATGACTTCCACTTTCCAGCTCTCTACAAAGACAGAGTTTGATGCCTAGCTGCAGGAGCGGCACCAACCGTAGCACCGGGAGAGCCGAAGAAGCTGGGTAGGCGGGGTGGGGGAGTAGGCGGGGTGGGGGAGTGGCGAAGTGGGTGCCCGGTCCTCCGGCTGCGACCCCTCAAGCCCCGGACGCCCCTCATACCGCAGCCACCCCGCCTGCCCACTCACCGGCACGAGGTGGCAGAGCCCGCGACAACAGCGGGAGGGAAACAGGCAACCCAAGGCAGGGCCCGTACAGCTCGCGAAATGCCATAAGGGCAGCCGAGCCCACCCCTGCCCACAGGTAGCAGCTGTCGGAGATAAGACATCCCAACCCGCCTTTAGCAGTTCAAACACCTACCCAACACCATCCCAGAACTCGACGGTAGAGAAGTAACGTCAGAACAACCCAAATCCCTCCACAACTCCGTACCCAAGCCCATTACAGCACCTGAAATGTCTGAACAAAGGGAACCTGACTCCGCTACCACCACCCCTCCGATTGGCCGGGGGTGGGGGCGGGGCTCGGCGCGCAGGGGAGGGCGGGGGCGCCATTGGACAGTCACCTTGGCAACGGCGACTTTGTCTGGGGTGCGTGGCATCGGGTGTGATAGAGACGGCAGTGAAATGGCCGCCAAACCCCACACAGCTTCTCAGCCCTGGCCCTTGCCTTCGGTCTCACCCGTGCTTCATGCATAGGGCCGCTTCTCCGGGCCGCCCCCCCCCGCTTCTGCTCGGCTTGCTGCTGGAGACACATACACACAGGCCTCATGCTCAGGCACTGCCTCCTGCCTGGAAACAGGGACAGGGGGCATTTTCCCACCTTAGGGGCACCCACATACATTACCCTTTCTCCAGATCTTCCACCGCCTCCCTCAAGGGAGCACTAGTATGGAGGGCCATCAACCCCTCAGGTAGCACTTATTCACCCATAAGGGAACTCTCTTACCTCCTCAGCACGACCTGTCCTTAAGCCCCACTGGCACAAGTGCCCTTCCCTCCAGGCACCACCAGGCTTCCCAGGTGGGGCTCCTCTCCCCGCACCCCCAACCTCCTCCCCATCCAGGGGAGCAAAGGCAGCAGTGAGCTGCAGGAGCTGATTGACACATATGTGATAAATACTAGTTCGGTTGATACGCTGGAGGGAAGGGATGCCATCCAGAGGGACCTTGAGACACTTGTGAGGTGGGTTGATGCCAACCTCATGAGGTTTAACCATGTCAAGTGCAAGGTCCTACACCTGGGTCGGAGCAATCCCAGGCACAGCTACAGGTTGGGCAGAGAAAAGATTCAGAGCAGCCCTGCGGAGAAGGACTTGGGGGTGTTGGTTGATGAGAAACTGAACATGAGCCAGCAGTGTGCGCTTGCAGCCCAGAAAGCCAACTGTATCTTGGGCTGCATCAAAAGGAGCGTGACCAGCAGGTCGAAGGAGGTGATCCTGCCCC